GCCGCAGCGCCGTCCACCGGGCTCGGCCACTGCGACGGGCAGCTTCCTGCTGCAGAAGGCCCGGTGATTACAGCTGGGTTCGCTGAGACACAGTGACACGGGTGCTGCACGGCTCCCAGCTCCTCGCCGACAGCTCCCAAAAGGGGCTGGGAGGCAGGCTCAGGGTGACGTTCCCCACGCCCGCCTCAGCCGTGGGCCCTCCTCATTTCCGGCCATGAGAGGTCAAGCCCTTTGCCCGCCCCTCCTGACAGCTGAGGAGGGGGTGCGCTGGACCCTTGTCCCTCACCTCACACACTCGTGCGTGACAGGTGCGAGGAGGGCGACGTGGGAGCAGAGGTCCTCGCCTCCTCTCAGCTCAGAAGCCAATCTCGCTGTCTCTAATGTTCAGGACTTCTGTTTCCCGGTGCAGATATGTGAGGCTGGGCTTCCGACAGCTGCTGATGGATCCACACCTGTGACGTGAGTTGGGGCCGCCGCCCGCTGCCGGCTCTCTGTGGCCCTGGCGCGTGGGCCTTAGGTCGAGTGTTTCACTGGGGCTTGGTGCCCTGGCAGTGTCCGTGGGAAAGCTCTTCCTTGCGGAGTGCGCTGACCTGGCCTGGCTTAGGTGGGTTTCTGTCGCTGTGAGGAAATACCTGAGTCAATCACCTTCCAAGGAGGAAAGTTGCGTTTTGTCTCAGTCAGAAGAGCTTCGGCCCGTGGCCTCTTGGCCCCACTGACAGTGCAGCATGAGGAAGTGAGTAAGGAAGCTGCTCACCTCCTGGCAGCCAGGAAGGGAGAGAGAAACAGGAAGGGGCAGGGCAGATGTTGTCTTTGAAGCCACGTCCTGTGTGACCTCACTTCCTTTCACCTGGCTCAGCTCCCACAGCTTCCATCGCTGGCTGGTACCCCACCTTGGCAACGAAGTCTTTGGAGGGACATTCCAGGTCCAAACTTTAGAACCATAATGACATTTCTACTTGGTTATCTCAAGGTCTTCTCAAACCCTGTACTTGCAAAATTCAGAGTTCTTTCTCTGATAGGTTTCCGATATCATCTGACTGTCCCTTGGATACTGACAGGCTGAAATTCAAAGCCCATTGCCATGTATTAAAAATATGGAAATTTAACTGACTGTGATGCGTAGAGGTGGGACTTTGGGGGATGTGTTAGGACTGGGTGAGGCTGTTTCTGTAAAAGCCCAAAGGTTGGATCCTGGTGGCTTCAGATGCAGAGGGAGGGAGACTCACATGGGCACCCACACACTCCTTTTTTCTCTCTCAGGCCTCTGCCAGCAGGAAGCTTTCTTCACAGGTGACCCATAGTTTTCATCTCTAGAACTGTGAGCCAAAATAAACCTCTTTTCTTTATAAAGTAACCTTTTCCTGACATTGGATTATGGCAATGTAAAATGGACTAATCCACTACTTTCCCCCATACGGTAGCCCTCTTCCAGTGTTTGCTGTTGAATAGCTTCAATAGTTCCCTTGTGCCTTCCAGAAAGTTACCAAGTTTCCCACGGAGTGTCTCTTGTCTTTGCCCATTTCTCTCCTTTTCCTCTTTCCCATTTATCTTTCCCTGCCTCAATCACTGAGGTGAGTTTTCAATCTGTATCTGTCTTTCATCTTCTAATTCCATCTCCACATGTAGCAGCAAACAGGCTGAATTCCACAGAAGACTAAAGAACTCCGTTTAGGACAAACAGAGTTTATTAAATTTTAGACCGGTCACCGCACATCCCCGACTAGCAGGTCAGGAACGTGGGGCCCCTGCCTGCCTTTGTTCACAGCTTATATACATTTTTGGTTTCCATGGTAACAGATTGGAATGTTGTAGCCCTGGCCACATGTTGTTTTCCTTGTGCCACGTGACCAGGTCAGGCTCTGGTCATGAGCCCAACCACAATGATATAGACTTTCTGTAGTCTGTTCTGTATGTCCCCCTTTAGATAACCATACATTTCCTTTATGGTTACAATGTTTATCTAGGGCCAGGGAAGGGATGGAACAACCCAGGCAGGGTCATAGGTGGTTATCTGGGCCCAGGTGTGCTTTGTCTTTGTAGAAGCATTCTGGGCCAAAGTCAGGACTGAAAAGTTAACATTTTATAACCTCTCCAGGATATTTCTCAAGACACATTTTGAGGCTTGTACTAAGGCTAAAACTATTCTATCTTAAAAATAATATGTTAAGAGTCACTGATCCCTACACACAAAGTAGTCAGAGTAGGTTTTCGGAAGTGTGGAGGAACTACCTAGGACCAAATTAGAGACTGGGATAAGTTCGCTAATGCTATAAAACAACTAAATCCACTTGCATACCTCAAGGCTCAATTTTGGTTTTATACTGGAATTGGTGTACTCATTCTCTTGTTTATAATCCTTATTAAAGTGTGTTGCAAAAGATTCTCAACCAGATGCCAACTAGAGGCCATACAACTATGACTAACTCTGCTCCAGCTTCGTCAAAGAGAAGGGGGAACTATGGAGGACCACCGAGTTGATTCTTCTTGAAAGAGGAGCCATTGTCTCCATTTTGGCTGAGCCTGGCCCTATTTCCATGTATTGATATGCACAGAACTGGCTAGGATTTTTCTTTATCCCTTCAACTGGCTTTAAGCAATGCATATTGGTCCAGCTGAGGTGCTGATGGTAGTCTTTGGAGATGGCAGGTGTGTTTCTCCTGACCCCTGTTGTTCCTACAAGTGAGCTGGGATGAGGTGGGATGTGTGAGCCAATGCTCCACGCTGTCAGCTGGGATGGAGTCTTGGAATAGAGGCTATGACTTCCTGGGGCTTCACACATTATACATCAGAGCTAAAGCATGACCCCAAAACATCAGGTGCTATCTCAGTTGTGTTATGCAGATTACTCATTCTGCAGAGCCTTCTCTCTGCATTTGCAGAGGTAATTTCAGGCCTCCTGCTGAGCCTAGCTCATGACACTCACCTGCTTCCCAAGACTCTCACAGTCACTCATCCTCAAGCCACTCCCTTCTTCATGAATGAATAAAATCTGGGTTCAGCTTTGGGTTGATGCCTTTGTTCTGGGTGGTGGCCATCACTGTGACTGGACTTAGGACCCGCTGCCTCCTCATAACTACAAATATGCCTTCATGTCTTTATTCTCACCATGGATTGCACTAGACGTTGTAGATTAAAATTAATCCACTTGGATTCCAATAATTTTTCACGGGATTACAAATACAACCTTCCCGAGCCATGACAAGGACTGGAAAGGGTGCTCTCTATGCAAAATCAGAACTGATTCATGCCCACCTCTGGGTTCAAAGCCTCCTGGACGACAGCATGGGTGAGGGAAAGCCTGGCTCCTTCATATGCCTGTGGGTCCTGGATGAAGTGACTCCTTGTGTTAGTCACCTTTCTTGTTGCTGAGACACAGTACACACCTCCCACCATTTACAGGAGGAGAAGTTTCTTCGGCTCATGGGGTCAGTGGATTCCGTCCATGGTTGGTCCCTCCCAGGCAGGAACATCATGGAGAAAGGGCTTGGAGGAGCGAAGATGTTCAAGTGGAAAGCAAAAGAAGGGAACAGTGCCAAAGAAGAAAGGGCAGGCACCAGAGACAACCCCAAGGCCAGTCCTCCATGGCCTGGAGTGTGCTTTCCTAATCTGTTAGGTGCTCCTTAACCCAAAGCAGTTGGCAAACTTGGATTGACCATCACCCTCCTTCCTCACTCTGCAGCATTGTCTCACACCCTTACCAGCCTCCACCCGTGTTGACAGCGGATCTCATGATCTAAGTCCCAGAATGGACCTTAGAGCCTTACCACAGAAGTCCCGCTCTGTTCAGAAATCAAGAACAGTATAGTAACTTGGGCACAGTAGTGGGATAGGCTCCCTAATGTGTTGTCTGGGTTCTTGCCTTGCTCCCTCTGCTGTTTTAAGTGTCCTGCCCCTGTGTCTGCCCCACTTGGCCCCAACAGAAACCTCTGGGATAAATATGCTCCATCACCATTTCTACTCAACACACTGGATTCCCAGACCTCAGTGAGGTCGAATGATCTGCTCAAGACGACACGCTTGTTTGAGCACTAGCGCTGAGATCAAGCCCGGATGAGGCACGGTCCAGGTTCACACTGTTCTAATGCCCTGTGCGGCCATATCATGTGCTCGCGGGGTGTCTCAGATGTTTCCCCTCTGACAAAGGCGCTGCCTCCTCTGGCAACCTGTCCCATTTCCAGCCTGTGTTTAGGTAAAGTGCTTTCTTCTCCATTTAGCCTGATTTTTTAGTACTGGGAATCAAACTTAGGACCGCAAGCTTGCCAGGCTGGTGCTGTCCCACTAAGCCCCATCCCCAGCCTAGCCTGAATATTTTTCTGACTTCTACCTGATTACTGCGGCCCTTCTCCAGGCAAGCGAAACATTTGGGGGCCCGTGTTTGCACGGTGCTCAGCTTGTCAAGGCCTTCTGGTTTGGAGTTTGATGGCAGAGGTGCTAGCACATGGGAGAGCAGTCTCAGGCCACCCAGAGCAGAATTGCTGGGTTTGGTGGAGACAGGAACGGGCTTGTTCAGGGGTTGTGCCTGTGTGCTCGAAAGAAGGGAGCCTTGCTCAGGTTGACAATGGTCAGCAATGGCTGGAGCCCGAGTCTGACCCACCGGAGTGACCCTACGGGGAATTAATTTGAGAAAATCCAGCTGTCAGAAGTCTGTAAGGCTCTGTCAAGAGTGCAAAGATCTTTAGTTGGGAAATGAAGGCAAGTCTAGGCCAGGAGATAAGAATCACTAAGCGATTCAAGTCCTAAAGCTCTGGTTTCCCATGGTCTTAAAAGTCCCTGGGAAAGACACTGGCACTGCATTTGTGCCTCTGGGATAACACTTTCTGAACGCGAACTTGACCAAGGCCTAGTGTGCTCTTCATCTCTGGGAAGCCTCCCCAGGAGGCTGAGCTCCAGGCAAAGCCCCCAGGCTCCATGGGCTGGTCCCCAGCTCTGAAATCCAGGTGAGACCCTGAAGGGAGGAGCAGGGGCTCTGCTCGCCAGCACTGGTGCTCGTGAGCTACCCCTGTGGCTCCCGCCCTGTGCTCACATGGTGAAACGTGCAAGAGGGCCTCTGCTCCCAGCTCTCACATTCTCTGCACCTTGTGCCCTTCAGACAGCTTGCCTTCCGCTGCACTGGTGCACACTATGTGAGCAGCATCTGGCCAGGTGCACAAACGCACTTGTCCCCACAGGAGGCAAAGGTGACCGGGGGTCCCAAGGATGGACATATGTCGCGAACCACACTCCTCACCCATGAGGAAGGGGAAGCTCCATGCTGGGCTCTTGGGGGAGCTTGGAGCAAAGGCACCAGTGTTGCAGTGGCACTACAATGCCACGGTGAGCACAACACGGTCATTTCCTGCTCACTTGCAGTACCTGGCTCGCTCTCCTACCTCCCACTCTGGATCTCCAGCCCGGCAGCTACTGCCTTTGCCTGTGCTCTCTCCACTTCCTGTATAGTGGCTCCAGCTTGGACACGTTAAGTTGAAGCTTGCCATTCCCCCTCATTGCACAAATGCAGTGTCCTTTGAAAGTCCCAGGGAAGACCCTGCTGCCTTTGATTTTTTAAAAAGTAAACGTTACTGAGGTGAAGCACAGGGGAGTGCAAATCCTGAGTACACAACCTCATGAGCATTACACACGGGACACCCATGGGACTGAGACCAGGATGAGGACGTCGGATGCTTTCTCTGTTCTCTAGCCCCGGGATGGACAAGATAACAACACCTGACCTCCTCGTAACAGAGTGCTGACCTCAGACTAGGCCTTCAACAGGCTGCTGCTCACCTACAATCTGTCAGCTGCCTCTCTCTTCCTTCCCTTCCATAACCTCTGCATGGAGACGTGGTTCTCAGACTGTGAAAGCCACCCTTTTAAAGCATGCTCTTCTGTGATT